AATATCACATGCAAGTAAAATCTTGCTGAAGATAATTCAAAAACAAGTGCAGCAGTATATTGACAGAAAACTTCCAGAAATGCAAGCTGGATTCAGAAGAGAATGTGGAACAAGAGATATCACTGCTGATGTCAGATGGATCTTGGCTGACAGCAAAGAATACCAGAAAGATATTTACTTGTATTTTATTGACTATGTAAAAGCATTCGATTGTGTGGATCATAACAAATTATGGATAACACTGAGAAGAATGGAAATTTCAGAACACTTATTTGTGCTCACGAAAACCTGTACACAGACCAGGGGACTATCATTTGAACAACAGAACAAGGGGATACTGCATGGTTTGAAATCAAGAAGGGAGTGTGTCAGGGTTGTATGTTTTCACCATACTTACTCAGTCTGTGTGCTGAGCAAATAATCTGAGAAGCTGGACTACATGAAGAAGAGCAGGGCATCAGGACTGGAGGAAGACTCATTAACCACCTGTGATATGCAGATGACACTTTACTTGCTGAAAGCGAGGATGACTTGAAGCACTTACTGATGAAGATTAAAGACTGCAGTTTGCAGTATGGATTACATCTCAACATAAAGAAAATGAAAATCTTTGCAATTGGACCAGTAAGTATCATCACAATAAACGGAGAAAAGATTGAAGTTGTCAAAGAGTTCATAGTACTTGGTTCCACAATCAATACCAATGGAAGCAGCAGTCAAGACATCAGCGATATATTGCACTGGGAAAATCTGCTTCAAAAGTCCTCTTTAAAGTGCTGAAGAGCAAAGATGTCTCTTTGAAGACCAAGGTGCGCCTAACCCAAACCATAGTATTTTCAGTCACCTCATATGCATGTGAGAGCTGGACAATGAATAAAGAAGAATGAAGAAGAGTTGATGCTTTTGAGTTGTATTGGCATAGAATACTGAAAGTACCATGATTGCCAAAAGAACTAACACATCTGTCTTGGAAGAAGTGCAGCCAGAATGCTCCTTGGAAGTGAGAATGACCAGACATCGTTTGATCTGCTTTGGTCATGTAGTCAGAAGGGACCATTCCCTGGAGAAGGATATCATGGTTGGTAAAATGGAGGGTCAACGAGAAAAGGAGAAGGCCCTCAATGAGATGAATTGACACAGTGGCTGCAACAGTGGGCTCAGGTATAGCAAGGATTGTGCTGTTGGCACAGACAGATCCAGCTCATACCCCTCCTTGGGTTTCTGAGGCGATATCACTACAGAAGGAGTGGCAGGTGGGCTTGAACCACCAGCCTTCTGGTTAGCAGTCCAGTGCCTTTGGCACTACGCCACCAGAGCTCCCAGTGTTAGGGACAATGGTAATTTATTCCATCCTGATTTACTCGTCTGTCCCCATTGCAAGTTAATTTTATTTGCTAATTTTCCATCTCTTTTGATGGCAGTGAATTGGTCCAAGTCAGCATTCCCTGTTGCTTGGCCTGCTATAAAAGCATCACGACTAGTCTCCCTACAGTCTATTCTCTCCAGTCTACCTTTCCCTCTACATTCTATTCTCAACGCAGCAGCCAGCACTCTGCCAAAGCCTTAAGGCAGATGATGCCAGTCCTCTGCTCCAAACCTTACAATTTCCAGTCCAACTCAGAGCAAAAGCTTAAGTTCACATAGTGACCAGTTCAGACCCTTTACCTTATTGAACACTCCTCCTGCCACTCTCTCCTTGTACTTCTGCCACCCTGGCCTCCCAGCTGTTCCTCAGACACACAACTGTCCCTCCTCAGAGCCTTTGTTCTTACACTTCCCTCTGCCTGAAACAACTCCTGACCCATTCCCTTACCTCTTTTAGGTATTTGCTCAAAGTTACCTTTCTAGTGAGGCCTCCACTGCCCACCCTATTTTAAATAGCAACTTTCTACTCTTCTGAGGGAAGTGGTGGTATAGTGAGAAAATTCCCATCTTCCACGCAGGAACCAAAAAAACCAAACCAAACTCATTGACATCAAGTCGATTCAACTCATAGCAACCCCTCCTTGGGTTTTGAAGGTAGTTTCTCTACGGAAGTTCATTGCCCCATCTTCCTTCTGAGGAGTGGCTGGTGGGTTTGAACCACCTTCTGGTTAGCAGTCATGTGCCTCAGGCACTATGCAGGAGACCTGGGTTCAATTCCTGGCCACTACACTTTCCAGAGACGCCACCTCGCATCTATCAGTGGAGGCTTGCATGTTGCTATGATGCTGAACATGTTTTAGTGGAGCTTTCAGACTGGGACAGTCTAGGAAGAGAGGCCTGGCTATCTACTTCTAAAAATGAAAACTTTGTGGATCACAGCAGTCTCATCTTGGTGTGTAAGAGGTTGTCAGGTGTCAGGGGCTGGCTCGATAGCTGCTGCTAACAACAGTCTCTTTTCTGAGCATATTCTTCCCCATAGCATATATCAACTTTTAATATACTATAACCAAAAACCAAACTCACTGCCATTGAGTCGATTCCAACTCATAGCAACCCTACTGAGTTTACAAGACTGTAAATATACAGAAGTAGTTTACTTCATCTTCCTCCCATGGAGTAGCTGGTGGGTTTGAACAGCCGACCTTCTGGTTAGCAGCCAAATATACCACCAGCCCTCCTTTTATTATTGTTATTATTATTATTATTATTTTAATTGTGATTTAATTGTGATTTGGGTGAAGGTTTACAGAGCAAATTCACTTTCCATACAGCAGTTCATATACACTTTGTCTCATGACATTGACCACAGTTTATCACAATGCAACAGCTCCCCTCCCACTCCCTCCCCACAGTTACCTCTTCCCAGTGTCCATCCCTCCATGGGCTCCTTCCCCTGAGCTGTCTCTCTGTGCATAAGCAGC